TGCTGAACCATGAGCAGTTTAAGAGGGTTCAGGTCTGACTTCTTTTCAACAATGAAACCTAAGACGGGATTCTTCAAGTGGCAGGCAGCCTTGCACTGAGGCAGCCGCCTACGTGAAGGGCAATGACCTTGCCCTGACCTCTGGATCAGCGCCAAGGGTGCTGTGGCCTTGACTCACCAGGCCCACAGGGGTCTCTCAAGAGGCGCTCTTGCCATGTACGTCTCTAGATGTCAGCACACAGCACTCCTGGTGTCTTGAGAGGAAACATCCCCCAGACCAAAAGATGAACATTAGCCGAGGGCTTCCCTGGTGGCGCAGTGGTTAAGAATCCGCCTGCCAATGCAGGGGACACGGGTTCGAACCCTGGTCCGGGAAGATCCCACATGCTGCGGAGCAACTAAGCCCGTGCGCCACAACTACTGAGCCCATGCTTGAGAGCCGGCGAGCCACAACTACTGAGCCTGCGTGCTGCAACTACTGAAGCCCACGTGCTGCAACTACTGAAGCCCACGTGCCTAGAGCCCGTACTCTGCAACAAGGGAAGCCACCTCAATGAGAAGCCCGCGCACCGCAATGAAGACTGTTTGCCGCAACTAGAGAAAACCTGCGCGCAGCAACAAAGACCCAACGCAGCCAAAAAAATAAGCTGATAACATAAATAAATTAAAAAAAAAAAAAAAGTACACCGACTGCTCTATTTCTTCCAAAACTAGAGGCATCACTGAGATGGCTCTTCCCGGGACCATGTTGTGTGAAGCCCAGCCTTGCCCTCACGCTCCTCCCTCTGCCTGAGCCCTTTTCCTCCTGTGAGGACAGGAGCTGTGTTTTCACACCCTTTCTCTCTCAACTGAGAATCATATTCAGGTAAATTACATTCATATTGTTTTTTGAATGTATTAGAGTTTATATGTTTCTTGTGCATAACTTTAAAAAAAACAAGTAGAATATTTTCTAGTGCTCCCTTTCAAAAATACTTCAACCCATCTTCACTACTGAGGGCCTACGTTAGTTTCTGGAGGATGGGGAAGGCCTGTACTCTTGACAGAAACTGCTCAGAAATCTACAAACTGCTCTCTTTTAAATACTGTTAAAAGAGTTCTCTGGAAAAGTTATTAAAGAGACAAATAATTCAGGAATTGAGGAAAAGAGCTCCTAAAAAAGCAAAATAGCTAAGCGCATTATAAGTTCACATTTAAAAAGGCTTCTTAAATAATGAGTCACAAAAGTGCTATTATATCCAAGAATAACAAATGTAACTATATTAAAATTACATACGTCTGATTTGCCCCAGGAACACGAGTGATTCAAAATGAGAAGAATCAATCACTGTAATATATCACATTAATAAAATGAAGGAGGGCTTCCCTGGTGGCGCAGTGGTTGAGAGTCCGCCTGCCGATGCCGGGGACGCGGGTTCGTGCCCCAGTCCGGGAAGATCCCACATGCCGCAGAGTGGCTGGGCCCATGAGCCGTGGCCGCTGGGCCTGTGCTCCGCAGCGGGAGAGGCCGCGGCAGTGAGGGGCCCGCGTACCGCACAAAATAAATAAATAAATAAATAAATAAAATGAAGGAAAAGAATCCACGTGACCATCTCAGATGATGCAGAAGAAACATGTGATGAATCCAGCACCGTCTCACGATAAAAACAGAAAACTAGGAATAGAATATGCAGGGGCACTTCCTCAGCATAATAAAAGGCATTAATGAAAAACCTACAGCTCACATCAGACTTGACAGTGAAAGGCTGAAAGCGTTCCACCTAGGAGCAGGAACAAGACACAGATGCCCACATTCAACACTGCTACTCAGCACTGTACTGGAAGCTCTAGCCACAGCTATCAGACAAGAAAAACAGGTTCCCAAGTTAGAAAGGAAGAGGTCAAACTGCGTCCATTCACAGACCATAGATCTTACATGTAGAAAACCCTAGAGAATCCACGTACAACACAAAATACTATTAGAGCTAATAATTGAGTTCAGCAGAGGTGCAGGATCAACACACAAAAGTCAGTTTCGTTTCTATTCACCAGCAGTGAACAGTCCAAAAGGAACAACTCCATTTACAACAGAGCCAAAGAGTAAAATACCTGGGAATAAATTTAACCAAGGAAATTGAGAGAAAGATGAAACAAGATTCAGGAGAGTGGTTCCCTTGGGCGGATGGAGGCAGGAGGATGGGACACAAAAGGACCACATGTGTGGACGTAAGTTATTATGATGATGCTAGTTTTCTTGTTGGGTGGTAGGATCACAGATGCCGACGACCACAGGTGGATGGACAAAGATAAGGCAGGAAGAGGGACACATAAAAGAGGCCCAGGACCACCCATGGACCAATGATGACAGTGAGATATTTGTCACAATCACGACTAGGTGACTCTAGGCACCTGAGATCCAAAAGAAAAAAAAGCAATCTTAACAGCTTAGCAAAAGAAATAAATTGCAGATTAAGAATTTAAAAATACACTGAATTCAGTGCTTTGTGACCACCTAGAGGGGTGGGATAGGGAGGGTGGAAGGGAGACGCAAGAGGGAGGAGATATGGGGATGTATGTATATGTATAGCTGATTCACTTTGTTGTAAGGCGGAAACTAGCACACCATTGTAAAGCGATTATACTACAGTAAAGATGTTTAAAAAAAAAAAATGGTGTGTTAGTTTCAGGTGTACGGCAGGGTGATTCAGTTATGCATATACAGGTATCTATTCTTTTCCAAATTCTTTAATTGGGAGCTTGGGATTGACATATACACACTACTGTATTTAAAATAGATAACCAACAAGGACCTACTGTATAGCACAGGGCACTCTGCTCAGTATTCTGTAATAATCTAAATGGGAAAAGAATTTCAGACTGAAAAAAAAAATACACTGAATTACATTTATAAAGTAAATAGTACTTTAAGCAGAATACATCAAGTTTTAATGCTTCATGGACAGCCCAAGGAAATGGAAAAGCATCTTTCAACCTTAAACAGAATGTTAAAAAGTTTGAGCTAGCTCACCTCTTCTTGAATATACTGTAATAAGAAGGGAGATGCTCTCAAATTATCAACAGGAATATTGAAGAAGCCCTGAATTTCCTTCTGGTGTAAATCCATAGTAATAAGATGAGTCAGACCTTTGAAAATAAAGCAGACACAAACACACGAATCGTTTCATAACCAGTTGCACTGTATGAATAAGTACTACATAAAACAAGACACCATATATAACAAATCACTATTAAAGACTGCTCTCAGCAAAAACTCAGCGTCTTTATTTCTCAGATTTTTTTTTAGTACAATGAGATTATGAGATAAAAGAAAATATAAATATTGGTCTCTGCCCGCCGGTTCCCAGCACAGAGCTCCTAAAACCCTTGCCATTCCCTCAGTGCTAAGAGCACCAGGGGCATCTCTTATTCTAATATCTGGTCTTTGACCCCACCTCTGACACAGAGCTCCTGAAAGCCTTATGAATTCCTTAGTTATAAGAGTACCAAGAGTATCTTTTGTTCTAATGAGGTGACCCAGGATGGGCTCTGGGATGGGGGCCCGTCACCACGATTTTCAGGCTCCCCAACCCCACTCTCAAGAAGGGGAGACGGGCTGGAAATGGAGCTAATGAACGATCACGCCCTTGTGAGGACACCTCCATAAAGTCCCAACAGCGCGGGCTTTGGGAAGCTTCCAGGCGCGTGAACACGGGCACCAGCCCCTCCCCATACCCTGCCCCACGCACCTCTTCCACCCGGATGCCCACCTGGATCCTTTATCATGTCGTTTTATAATAAACCAGTGAACAGTAAGAGAACAGTGTTCCCGAGCTCTGTGAGGAGTTCTAGTAAATTAATCGAACCCAAGAGGAGGTCGTGGGAACCTCTGATTTATAGCCAACTGGTCAGCACAGGTGACAACCTGGACTTGCAGCGAGCGTCTGGGGGAGTCAGGGGAGCAGGCACGTGGGACTGAGCCCTTAACCCATGGGATCTGACGCCATCTCCAGGTACACAGTGTCAGAGTAAAATTGTACGACACCCAGCTGGTGCCCTGGAGAATTGCAAGGTGTAGGGAAACCGCGTACACATTTGGTGACAGAGGTGAAGTGTCCCCTGCGAGGAGTAAAGGAAACTCAGAGGAGGTGGGGAACTGGGTTTCCCCCTCAGAAGGGAAAGACTGGGTGGCTTTTCTTACACAGAGATGCATGGTTTTCACATCAATTTAAAGTCTTAAAACAGCCAAGATCATAGCAATGAAGAAATGTCTCTGATAATTCTATGAGAGTGGATTTCATCTCCCTGAAGTCTTTTCAATAGGCATGACAAAGCCATATCAAGACAAGTATTTGTCTTAATATATTAAGACAAACTGCACAGGCCTATCTGTAATTCGAAAAAATGAAGAATCTTCATCCCATTGGCTCCTTAAAGGATATTTGAAATGGAAATATATATATACATAAACATACATATAATTCAACTGGAAACATTTTTTAAAGCACAACTTGCCCAAATGAACAGGAAAGCAAGCCCGACGGCTCCCCAGGAGCAAGCCCGGGGGAGGGCGGGCGGCCCCCCCAGGAGCAAGCCTGGGGGAGGGTGGGCCTGCTCCCTCTGCCCCCTCCTCCCTCCAGCAGAGCCTCACTGGGTGTGCTCTCCAGGTTGCTGGGGTGCAGGTTCATCCAGGTTTTGTTTTGGTTTTGCCTTCTTTGAAATGCTACAGTAGAAAATTTATTCTGCAGTAAGTGTCTGTGTTAAAATGTAGCGATATGGGGACTTTTATTCTTTTCCCTCTGTGCAAACGCTCTGTGATATGTGCCTTCTATAATCATACACACATACACAGGCACACCTGTGCGCGTGGGCGCAGGCGCGCGCGCGCGCGCGCGCGCGCGCGCGCACACACACACACACACACACACACGAGTAACAACTCTGAAGATTATTTAGAAACAAGGAGGAGAGACTTAGGATGTTACCTAAAAATGCACAACACAAAGTAATTTGTATGGTCTGCAAAGTGTGCCAGTGTGTACTGGGAAAGGGAAGAGACGAAAACAAAAATAGTTGCTGTGTTATTAGAGTTGTTGATTCCAAATGCCTTCTTCCCCATTAAAAACAACCTAAATATGATTGTAACTTGTCATTTCAACATTCATTTTTTAAACAAAGAATTTAGGAAAAAATAAGTTGTTCTCATCAGCTTTGTGTTTAGGGAGTTGGGAACAGGAGAGAACTCTCTCTAATTACAAATTAGCCATCTTAAAGCTGTACCACTATTTCTACTCTGTTCCACATTCTAATTTAGTTAAGACAATGCTTTACAATTTCTCAGATAAAAATAAATCTCCCAGACCCCCAATAAGCCATCAAATATCTGCCTTTCTTACCAGCTTTGCACATCATGGAAGCTAGCAGTTTAGAAACAATGGAGCCTCTCTTTCTCATCTTGCACTGTTTGCTGTAAGGAAAGTAGGGGATCACGCCGATGATGCTTTTGGCACAGGAGGTCTTACACGCGTACACCATGATAAGGAGCTCCATGATGGTGGTGTTCACATCCCTGGAACCCAAGGACAGAAACCAGCAAGGAGAAACGTCATATACACGATGACCTCTCTCGGTTCCAGCTAAGCGTTAGCCATGTGTCACGCCCGCCTCGACCGAGACAGGCTCTAGACACAAAAAAGAAACCACATCCCTCTCTTCTAGGGCCTCCATGAGTCGCCCCCATGCTGCCTCTCAGCCGATGACCCTACTTCCTTTTCCACTGAGAAAAGCACTGTCAGAAAAGAGCCCAGGGCCCCCACTGCCACATGCGCGTGCAGCCCCCAAGTCTGCCTGCCCCGAGCCATTAGCCAGAGACGAACTTTCCACACCAAAGTCACTCTAAAATCAGCCCTCCCGTGACGCAGGGATCCCATCCCCCCTGCCCACTGAAGCAGGGCTCCAGCAATCCGCCCGGCCACCCCATCAGTGTGTCACTCTCCCCTGCTCATACCCATGGGCCATTTCTCCCATTAACAGCAGCTCAGGCCACTTTCCCCACTGCCCCATTACTTGGCTCCCCTGGGCAGCACATCTCAAGACGGTCGTCCACACTTGCTTCCAACTCATCTCTCTCATCCTCTCCCACACACACTCCGGTCCAGGTCACGGATGACCTCCACGTGGCCAAGGCCAACACTGGGTTCTCACTCCACCTCTCTGTCCTCGCCCTGACACACTCCATCACTCCCCCAACCGCTCCCCTCCCGCCCTGCTTCGTTTCCTCTGCTGCTTCCTCGCCTCCCCAGCTTCCTGCCCTGACACCTGATCATTTGTCCTCTTCTGCTGTCTCCTCCCTCACCCCTCGCTTGTGCTTCTCATCCAATTTCAGAGCTTTGTAAATGCTGGAGACTTAAATTTATAGCTCCAGTCCAGGCTTCTCAGGTCCAGACTAACAAATTCAGCTGCTTCTTGACAATTCCACTAGAAAGTCTTGTTAAGACATCTCAAAACGTACCCCAAACTGAACTGCTCTTTGACCGGCAAAGCCTGCCTCGTCATAAACCTCTGCCATCTCAGCTGATGGCGGCAATGCGCCTGCAGTTTACTCAGGACAAAACCCCCAGAGGCGTCCTTAACTGCTCTCCTGTCCAGAGTGACAGCAACCCACCACTGCACTCTGCCCTGGGGCCGAGCCTTGACCCCCCCACAGTGACAGCCCGGCCCGGCAGTCCCTCTGCAGCCCACCCTCTGCACAGCATCCAGCTGGAGCTTAAAGTCAAAGGCAGATCATGCACTCTGCTCAGGAGCCAGCGATAGTTTCCCGCAGATGCCAAGGCCCTGCAATGGCTCCCGAGGCCCCTTCAGGGTCTGGCCCCCCCGCCAGCGCTGCCCTGCACTCCTCCTCCGTGCCCTCCCCTCATGCCAGTCCTCATGCCCACCTGAGGGCCTTCGCTTCAGGGCTCTCTGCCCCTGCCTGGAGTGCCCTCGTCGCCAGCTGGCACCTTCTTCCAGTGTTTGTCAGATGTCACCTCCCCAGCCTGCCCTTTCTCCATCCTTTACCACCGTCACGTCCGACTCCTTGCCATGCTGTTTTGGTTTTTACCCATAGCGCTCATCATCTTCTGAGAAACTAGATAATCTACTTATTCATTTTGTTACCTGCATGTCCTAGAACACAGGCTCCATGAGGACAAAGGATCTGTGAACTATTTTAATCCTTCGCGCATCTCACACACCTGTAACAGTGGCTGGCACACAACAGACATTCAGTAAATGTCTGTGAACGAGCGACTGCGTGCAAGAGTGAGGGAAACACGGAACATTTGGGTGAGGAGGTTCTCTGTTGATACCTAACAACAAGCCTGACATGGGAGGAGTTAAAGTCGCCTTTCAGAAAGCATTCTGTGTGAGAGGTAAGGGCAGGGGAACCAACAGCGGGTGTAAAGTTACACCAAGGTCCCAAACTATACTCCCAGGAACACCATTTTTCTGTGAACTGGTACAAGGCTTTCCATCACTAAATTCAAATAATAACTCGTCTGAATTACAGGAAAAGTTAAGTTAATGGACAGAATTTTCTTAATTTAAAATTTTTCTTATACTTTTAGTGCCTACCACCAGTCTACACTAAGACAAGGTACAAGGTGTATCTGACGACACCAAATCTCAGTGTTAACTGTTTCTTAAAGACCACAATATCCAAGCTTTCTGCAACCTGGACAAGACAAGCCTATGGCACAGTCTGGAGGCACTCCAAAATGAGGCATGTAGAGAAAATTAAGGGAATGGTTTTGGCTAGAGGAATAAGAAAATGACGAGAGGCAGGGGCAGAATGAAAAGAGTATTGAAATGTCCAAAAATAAATGTAAAGGAAGGAAGGAAGGAAGGAATGAATGGAAAGAAATGGAAGGTATAAAAGTACTGCAAACACCCGGGAGCCAGAAGGAAGTCAGCTGTTCTGTGCTCTGCACTTTCCCCTCCTTGATGAGGGCGTGGGCATGGAGAGCGCTCTACCAGCCTGGCGTCTGGCCCGGGAAAGAGAGCAGCAGCAGGGGCAGCACGAACTCTCGTCCCCACAGCCCAGCCCTGCTGAGGGTCCTAAGCGGAGGGAAGACATGAAGCCAGGGCCCCGCCGCAAAGGCCCCACCGCAAAGGCCTGCACACTTGCACTCCAGGACGATGGGATGCAGTGACAGGTCACCTTCGGCTCCTCCTGCCAGAAGAGTCAGGTGGCTTCGAGATTTCATCCCCATGAACCAAAGACCAGGACAGAGATGTTCAAAATTTAAGTGAAAGTTCATGTGTTCCAAGTCTAAATTCTCCCAAAATTTGGCTCGTCTTCACTTTCTTTGGTATTTATTTTACACGTAACCACAAATTTAGCTTGCGGCAATTTTTGGAGTCTCTAGGCTAAAGACTGTTGCACTACACAAACCAATTTCTAGACATTATTAAAAATTGTACTGAGTTAAAAATTTCACCTATAGAGGCCTTGAGGGACACCTGTGGACAGAGTGGCATTTGATCAAAGAGCGGTGCAGACACCCTCGCTGCACTGAATCTTCTATCCCCAGCGTACACATTTGTGACCTCAACAATTTCCAGAACACGCGGCTATCAAACGTCACAGGAGACAGGAACGCACATGCCTTCAACACACCGTCTATCTTCTCAGCTCCTTTAATTTATGCAACAGGACAGTACGTTTAAATTATCTGCAGGAAAAGCTTTAAGAACCCCAAGTAAGCAAATTCCTCTCCTCTCGCCTGTTTTCTTCTTTGGAACTAGAAGAGCTTGCCTACACATTTTATGAAATTCCGGCTACTGAGAGCAAACGTAACAGGCTCTCTTATCATTAAGTGCCTCCACCCCAAAACTTGGTTATTCCCACCCTTGAGAACACTGAAAGAACACAAAAAAAGTCAGCAGCTATGTCAGAAAAATTAGCAGAGTGAGATCATGGCAATTGTAAAACAATCGTAATTCTCCCTGTCTAGGCAACTCTCATTATTCTAAACATTCATGCCCAAACAGAGACCAAAAAGTAACATTTCTGTTGGATAAGTTACTCACTTTGAAACAGTTTGGATGATGAAAACATCTTTCCCCCTCACAGACTCTTGAATTTGTACTCTTGTTTCTGGCAGGAAAAGGGGAAAAGAGAATAAGGGTGAACAAGGCACATAACTTTAAAAAACACACAAAAACCCCTGCAGCACATTCCCCAATGTTGTAAAATATGGACACTGGAACTGTTTCAACACTCACTGGGTTTTCAGTTCTATGAAGGATAACGAACACAGTTCGATCAATCACACCTTTTAAACATGTTAAGTTATATGACATGCTTAAGAAGGAATCACACTTGTCACTTAAAACAAGTAAATATCCCCTCCTCACTTCCTGTACATAAACAGCGAGTGCTGGGGCTGCTCTGAGCCCTATATCCTTACAGGAAATGATAGACTCATTCATTCAACCAGCAACAATTAAGAACCTATTAGGCACAAATGTTAGAATAACATTGTGAAAGTAAAGATAAATAAGGCCCAGTATCCCTACTCTCAAAAAACTTGTGATCAGCCACAAGGAAACAATTAGACAAATCCAGAGTGGGAAATTCCACAAGACAAACTCTTCAAAAAGTCAGTGCTGTGGGGAAAAAAAAGAAAAGGTGAAGGGACTGCCCTAGTCTAGAAGAAAATAAAAAGATATAAAAAACGCCTCACTTGAACCAAGAATCCTGGTTTAAAAAACAAACAAAATTCTTCCCCATTAAAAACAACCTAAATATGATTGTAACTTGTCATTTCAACATTCATTTTTTAAACAAAGAATTTAGGAAAAAATAAGTTGTTCTCATCAGCTTTGTGTTTAGGGAGTTGGGAACAGGAGAGAACTCTCTCTAATTACAAATTAGCCATCTTAAAGCTGTACCACTATTTCTACTCTGTTCCACATTCTAATTTAGTTAAGACAATGCTTTACAATTTCTCAGATAAAAATAAATCTCCCAGACCCCCAATAAGCCATCAAATATCTGCCTTTCTTACCAGCTTTGCACATCATGGAAGCTAGCAGTTTAGAAACAATGGAGCCTCTCTTTCTCATCTTGCACTGTTTGCTGTAAGGAAAGTAGGGGATCACGCCGATGATGCTTTTGGCACAGGAGGTCTTACACGCGTACACCATGATAAGGAGCTCCATGATGGTGGTGTTCACATCCCTGGAACCCAAGGACAGAAACCAGCAAGGAGAAACGTCATATACACGATGACCTCTCTCGGTTCCAGCTAAGCGTTAGCCATGTGTCACGCCCGCCTCGACCGAGACAGGCTCTAGACACAAAAAAGAAACCACATCCCTCTCTTCTAGGGCCTCCATGAGTCGCCCCCATGCTGCCTCTCAGCCGATGACCCTACTTCCTTTTCCACTGAGAAAAGCACTGTCAGAAAAGAGCCCAGGGCCCCCACTGCCACATGCGCGTGCAGCCCCCAAGTCTGCCTGCCCCGAGCCATTAGCCAGAGACGAACTTTCCACACCAAAGTCACTCTAAAATCAGCCCTCCCGTGACGCAGGGATCCCATCCCCCCTGCCCACTGAAGCAGGGCTCCAGCAATCCGCCCGGCCACCCCATCAGTGTGTCACTCTCCCCTGCTCATACCCATGGGCCATTTCTCCCATTAACAGCAGCTCAGGCCACTTTCCCCACTGCCCCATTACTTGGCTCCCCTGGGCAGCACATCTCAAGACGGTCGTCCACACTTGCTTCCAACTCATCTCTCTCATCCTCTCCCACACACACTCCGGTCCAGGTCACGGATGACCTCCACGTGGCCAAGGCCAACACTGGGTTCTCACTCCACCTCTCTGTCCTCGCCCTGACACACTCCATCACTCCCCCAACCGCTCCCCTCCCGCCCTGCTTCGTTTCCTCTGCTGCTTCCTCGCCTCCCCAGCTTCCTGCCCTGACACCTGATCATTTGTCCTCTTCTGCTGTCTCCTCCCTCACCCCTCGCTTGTGCTTCTCATCCAATTTCAGAGCTTTGTAAATGCTGGAGACTTAAATTTATAGCTCCAGTCCAGGCTTCTCAGGTCCAGACTAACAAATTCAGCTGCTTCTTGACAATTCCACTAGAAAGTCTTGTTAAGACATCTCAAAACGTACCCCAAACTGAACTGCTCTTTGACCGGCAAAGCCTGCCTCGTCATAAACCTCTGCCATCTCAGCTGATGGCGGCAATGCGCCTGCAGTTTACTCAGGACAAAACCCCCAGAGGCGTCCTTAACTGCTCTCCTGTCCAGAGTGACAGCAACCCACCACTGCACTCTGCCCTGGGGCCGAGCCTTGACCCCCCCACAGTGACAGCCCGGCCCGGCAGTCCCTCTGCAGCCCACCCTCTGCACAGCATCCAGCTGGAGCTTAAAGTCAAAGGCAGATCATGCACTCTGCTCAGGAGCCAGCGATAGTTTCCCGCAGATGCCAAGGCCCTGCAATGGCTCCCGAGGCCCCTTCAGGGTCTGGCCCCCCCGCCAGCGCTGCCCTGCACTCCTCCTCCGTGCCCTCCCCTCATGCCAGTCCTCATGCCCACCTGAGGGCCTTCGCTTCAGGGCTCTCTGCCCCTGCCTGGAGTGCCCTCGTCGCCAGCTGGCACCTTCTTCCAGTGTTTGTCAGATGTCACCTCCCCAGCCTGCCCTTTCTCCATCCTTTACCACCGTCACGTCCGACTCCTTGCCATGCTGTTTTGGTTTTTACCCATAGCGCTCATCATCTTCTGAGAAACTAGATAATCTACTTATTCATTTTGTTACCTGCATGTCCTAGAACACAGGCTCCATGAGGACAAAGGATCTGTGAACTATTTTAATCCTTCGCGCATCTCACACACCTGTAACAGTGGCTGGCACACAACAGACATTCAGTAAATGTCTGTGAACGAGCGACTGCGTGCAAGAGTGAGGGAAACACGGAACATTTGGGTGAGGAGGTTCTCTGTTGATACCTAACAACAAGCCTGACATGGGAGGAGTTAAAGTCGCCTTTCAGAAAGCATTCTGTGTGAGAGGTAAGGGCAGGGGAACCAACAGCGGGTGTAAAGTTACACCAAGGTCCCAAACTATACTCCCAGGAACACCATTTTTCTGTGAACTGGTACAAGGCTTTCCATCACTAAATTCAAATAATAACTCGTCTGAATTACAGGAAAAGTTAAGTTAATGGACAGAATTTTCTTAATTTAAAATTTTTCTTATACTTTTAGTGCCTACCACCAGTCTACACTAAGACAAGGTACAAGGTGTATCTGACGACACCAAATCTCAGTGTTAACTGTTTCTTAAAGACCACAATATCCAAGCTTTCTGCAACCTGGACAAGACAAGCCTATGGCACAGTCTGGAGGCACTCCAAAATGAGGCATGTAGAGAAAATTAAGGGAATGGTTTTGGCTAGAGGAATAAGAAAATGACGAGAGGCAGGGGCAGAATGAAAAGAGTATTGAAATGTCCAAAAATAAATGTAAAGGAAGGAAGGAAGGAAGGAATGAATGGAAAGAAATGGAAGGTATAAAAGTACTGCAAACACCCGGGAGCCAGAAGGAAGTCAGCTGTTCTGTGCTCTGCACTTTCCCCTCCTTGATGAGGGCGTGGGCATGGAGAGCGCTCTACCAGCCTGGCGTCTGGCCCGGGAAAGAGAGCAGCAGCAGGGGCAGCACGAACTCTCGTCCCCACAGCCCAGCCCTGCTGAGGGTCCTAAGCGGAGGGAAGACATGAAGCCAGGGCCCCGCCGCAAAGGCCCCACCGCAAAGGCCTGCACACTTGCACTCCAGGACGATGGGATGCAGTGACAGGTCACCTTCGGCTCCTCCTGCCAGAAGAGTCAGGTGGCTTCGAGATTTCATCCCCATGAACCAAAGACCAGGACAGAGATGTTCAAAATTTAAGTGAAAGTTCATGTGTTCCAAGTCTAAATTCTCCCAAAATTTGGCTCGTCTTCACTTTCTTTGGTATTTATTTTACACGTAACCACAAATTTAGCTTGCGGCAATTTTTGGAGTCTCTAGGCTAAAGACTGTTGCACTACACAAACCAATTTCTAGACATTATTAAAAATTGTACTGAGTTAAAAATTTCACCTATAGAGGCCTTGAGGGACACCTGTGGACAGAGTGGCATTTGATCAAAGAGCGGTGCAGACACCCTCGCTGCACTGAATCTTCTATCCCCAGCGTACACATTTGTGACCTCAACAATTTCCAGAACACGCGGCTATCAAACGTCACAGGAGACAGGAACGCACATGCCTTCAACACACCGTCTATCTTCTCAGCTCCTTTAATTTATGCAACAGGACAGTACGTTTAAATTATCTGCAGGAAAAGCTTTAAGAACCCCAAGTAAGCAAATTCCTCTCCTCTCGCCTGTTTTCTTCTTTGGAACTAGAAGAGCTTGCCTACACATTTTATGAAATTCCGGCTACTGAGAGCAAACGTAACAGGCTCTCTTATCATTAAGTGCCTCCACCCCAAAACTTGGTTATTCCCACCCTTGAGAACACTGAAAGAACACAAAAAAAGTCAGCAGCTATGTCAGAAAAATTAGCAGAGTGAGATCATGGCAATTGTAAAACAATCGTAATTCTCCCTGTCTAGGCAACTCTCATTATTCTAAACATTCATGCCCAAACAGAGACCAAAAAGTAACATTTCTGTTGGATAAGTTACTCACTTTGAAACAGTTTGGATGATGAAAACATCTTTCCCCCTCACAGACTCTTGAATTTGTACTCTTGTTTCTGGCAGGAAAAGGGGAAAAGAGAATAAGGGTGAACAAGGCACATAACTTTAAAAAACACACAAAAACCCCTGCAGCACATTCCCCAATGTTGTAAAATATGGACACTGGAACTGTTTCAACACTCACTGGGTTTTCAGTTCTATGAAGGATAACGAACACAGTTCGATCAATCACACCTTTTAAACATGTTAAGTTATATGACATGCTTAAGAAGGAATCACACTTGTCACTTAAAACAAGTAAATATCCCCTCCTCACTTCCTGTACATAAACAGCGAGTGCTGGGGCTGCTCTGAGCCCTATATCCTTACAGGAAATGATAGACTCATTCATTCAACCAGCAACAATTAAGAACCTATTAGGCACAAATGTTAGAATAACATTGTGAAAGTAAAGATAAATAAGGCCCAGTATCCCTACTCTCAAAAAACTTGTGATCAGCCACAAGGAAACAATTAGACAAATCCAGAGTGGGAAATTCCACAAGACAAACTCTTCAAAAAGTCAGTGCTGTGGGGAAAAAAAAGAAAAGGTGAAGGGACTGCCCTAGTCTAGAAGAAAATAAAAAGATATAAAAAACGCCTCACTTGAACCAAGAATCCTGGTTTAAAAAACAAACAAAATGGACTTCCCTGGTGGCTCAGTGGTTAAGAATCCGCCTGCCAATGCAGGGGACACGGGTTCGAGTCCTGGTCCAGGAAGATCCCACATGCCGTGGAGCAACTAAGCCCATGCGCCACAACTACTGAGCCTGCGCTCTAGAGCCCGCAAGCCAGAATGACTGAGCCCATGTGCCACAACTACTGAGCCTGCGCTCTAGAGCCCGCAAGCCACAACTACTGAGCCCATGTGCCTAGAGCCTGTGCTCCGCAACAAGAGAAGAGAAGCCACCGCAATGAGAAGACTGCGCACCGCAACAAAGACCCCCACGCAGCCAAAAATAAAAAAACAAATAAATAAATTTATAAAAACAAAAACAAAAAACAGCTAGGACAACTAGGAAAATTAGAACGTACATTAGCTATTAGATGATAGAGAATTATCATTAATCTCTTTAATGTGGCAATGTAGCGTATCTACATGGGAGAAAGTCCCCCTTAGGAGACACATGGTCAAGTATTCAGGGGTTAAGTGTCAATGTCTGCAACTCAGTTCCAAATGGTCCCACAAACACACATTCATACAGCAAAGTGTCACCTGCTGAATCTGGGTGGTACTCATTCACATGGGTATTCATGGCACTACTCTTTCATATTTTTTATAGGTTTGAACATTTTCATTAGAAATGTTGGAAAAAATAGAGTACATGTTTACAAAAAAGTGTGGTACCATGGAAAGAAAACGAGCTTTAGAGACAGGGAGATTGAGCTTTGAATCCCGACTCTGTTCCCTCTGGGGCCTCGATCCTAACATCACCCCTGAGCTCAGTTCCTCAGTACCTGGCAATGGTAAGGACTCTAGAGACGTTAGTTCCCTGCTTCCTTCCCCTCGTTCATGAACCCGGAGGGTGGACAGGCTCCTCCTGAGTCTTCCGCCACCAGCCTCCCTCAGCCCCCCTTCTACACTAGACAATGGACTCCATCCAGGTCCCTTTAGCAGCAAAATCTTCTCCAAACTCCCTGTGTATTTCCCTCAATTATACTTTTTTCCCACTGAAGCCACATGGGGGATATTGGGAGACAGGGAAAAGGAGGCAGTAATGGAGAAATAAATAGGGGAAGAGCAAATTTGTGCCTTTTCATCTAAGTGTCTTGCAAGCTCTCTAATATTTAAGTATTAGACAAAATCCTGCAGTGGAAAAGGAGAGGGAACCAGTGTTTACTGAGTGCCTACTATGTGCCAAAAACTGTGTTAGGCACACAAATTATCCCACTTAATCCTCAGAACAGCCCGAATTATTTGCAGTTTAGACAGCTAAAGTAACTTGCCAAGGAGAAGCTGTCTGACTCTTACACCTATGCAGGTCATCTGTCGCTCCTGCTAGAATAACTTCAAACATCCGCCATTTCTACAGAAAGTACAAAGGCTAAATAACATGTGATTTTCACAACTTGAGGTGTCTATACAACATCATAAATCAGTTAGCAAAAAGCACTTCCTGACATGACATCATGGAGTCTAGCCCAAGGCAGTGCAGGCTGGGGAAAAGAACACCCTCCACCTGATACCGTGGCTACACAGGGCACACGCACTCCGCCCGAGGGGACGGATTCAACCAAGCGCTGAGCTAATGCTTCCTGCGGTTGAACAGCTTGGTCACGCACCCACGCAGCTGTTATCGGATGACGTCTAAGGACTAGACTTTAAGCCCCCAGATGTGACTGCCCCAGAGTTCTCTATCGAGCTGGTGTTAGTGGGAACACCGCGCTCGCCCACCTTGCCTGCCTGCCTTCCTGCTGGCGGAACTAACTGGACACTGATGCCGACTGTTTCAGCTACGGAGGATGAGGGACTGGGCCAGCACGGCACGTACCACAAAAAGGCCACCGTCACAAAAGCACAGGATCACTCACCTCTGTCAGGCTCCTGATAAACTTGCACTTTGCCCATCTCCACCCCCAGCCGCCTAGAGAAGAGAAAGACGGAAAACGCTGAAAAAGTAATAGAACAGATGCAACATCTTTACTATTAAGGATGATTTAGAAATTGATAAAAATAAAACAAATTTTTAAAAATAGAGGTATTCCTATTACGAGATTTAAAGTGGACGTAGAATTGTTCACTCACCTAACCCATCACATCCCCACCCTATGCCAACCCAAGAAGGCCTCTCAACCCTGTCCTGGTTCTCCAGGGTCCTGGTTCTCTGTCCTGGGCTCCCTGCCCTCCAGCCACAGTGCAGGCGTCTCAGCTCTGGCTAAACCCCTCTAGCACCTTAGCCTAATCGCATTATATTCACATATGCCCTCCCCTTTCGAGCGCTCAATCCTTGCCCTGCTGTTCCCTCTGCCTGGAGGGCTCTGCCCCAGACCTTCACTTGGGGCCTATTCAGGTTTCTCAATTCACATTCCATCCCCAGGGTTTAAAGGCACGTGAGCACTAAGACAGAACAACCTGCCCTTGCCTCTCCATTCTCCCGCATTTACCACCATCTGAAGTGATCCTGTTTGTTTGTTTGGCTGACTTGCTTCTTGCCTGGCCCCTCTACTAAAGAAGGAAGGGTTCTGACTGGCTTGTTCACTGTTACTCCCCAGTATCTAGATCAAGGTCTGGTACACAGTAGGGGTTCAATATTTATTTAATAAATAACTAAAATTATACTGAACTGTAATCTATAAACTATCTTCATATAGTATATACCCTTCATTGTTCTTTATACTCAAAAAATTCTATACATATGTAGCACCTAACACAAGCTCTGGCACTCAGGAGTCACTCAATAAATGTCTGCTGAATGAACGTGTAGGAGTGACAACAGTTTACAAGAAGGTGAGCCTTTAATACACAGATGATGAGCAGATTAACTATAAAAAATCTGCTTTCAAATTTAACTATCAGTGCCAATCCGTTTATCAAATGTAAAACACCACATAATGAGTACAGATTTTAATACTATGATTATACTCACTCAGCGATTTTCTTTGAAAGCTCCATACACGATGAATTAGAATTTGCCGAAAACAACACCAGACCCCCTTTGGTTATGTTCATCTTGGCTTCTGATTCAGGTGGCGCCACACAAAACATCAAAACCTTCTTGGTTTTCCAATTCTCAGAGCCTGGAAAGATACAAAATATATTAAGAACTGTCATATGATATGAAATACACCTGAAAAATTTTTAATAGCAAGTGACTTAAGCTAAAGGAAATTAGTTTTACCATGATGGAGTCTTTTATATTAAACATGTATACAGACAAATAGAAAGTCTATTTGAGTTTTAGGGTCCCAAATTTATGGAAAGATGCTATCATATGACTCAATTATTTTCATGACCACTGGGAATAAATGATAAACTTACAAGAAAGGTGGAGCTGAAGAGCTCAGTGTTTTACTGTTTGCTGCTTAAAGTCAATTATGACAACCTCCTTTTAGTCTCTGACAACAAAATTCCTCCTGGATTAACACACAGAAAAATGGCAAAGCCATTAGCAAGGACAAGGACTGACTGATCCTTAAACAATGAATAAAAAACCCGTCCGTGCCCAGCTTTCCCTGTAATGCCTGTTCACCATGAAACCTCCCCCTGGCCTTGCAGCTGCCCCAGGTCCTGTCTAAGCCTGACCTTGTCATCTGCATTTTTCCTCAACTGGAACACAAGGTTGACCAGGTAACAATAACCTTGAAGGAAAGTGACTCAGCCACGCAACTGACCAGCAGCAGGGCACAGACAGAAAGAGCCTGGCCTGGGCTTCCCTGGTGGCGCAGTGGTTGAGAGTCCGCCTGCCGATGCAGGGGACGCGGGTTCGTGCCCCGGTCCGGGAGGATCCCACGTGCCGTGGAGCGGCTGGGCCCGTGAGCCGTGGCCGCTGAGCCTGCGCGTCCGGAGCCTGTGCTCCGCAACGGGAGGGGCCACAACAGTGAGAGGCCCGCGTACCGCAAAAAAAAAAAGAAAGAGCCTGGCCTACAGGTCATCAGAACCCTCCATGCCCTCCTCCTCCTCTGGGCACTCTCTGGGTTGAGTGTCCTTATGGAGAAAGGCAGGCACGGGTTAGATGCAGGAGCAACAATCCACTAGGCCTTCGGGGACGGAGGCGCCTTCCCAGCAAGCCCACTGCATTTCCCCAGTCATATGTTTACATGGGTGGTTCTGGGAAGGCTGGTGGACAGGAGCAAAAGGCTGAAGCCAATTATCTTATTTGTTACTCTTAACTTTTTAAGACACCCATCATGTCCTTTTTAACTGCTGCCAGTGTTCCCTGGTGCAGGAACGCCACACTCAGCAGGTCACCAACCCAAAGAGGCCTCCTTATGCATGTGTGTGTCTCTCTCTGCAGTAACTGCCAGTGGGGGTCAGTGGGTCATAGGTGGGTCACTCACGGTCCCCCACACAGGCTAGGAGAGCACATTTCCTCTTCAGAGGCATCCCTCAATGGGAAACACAGGCCACCCCAATGCACTTGACCTAAAGCCTATGAATTACAAACAGAAATGTATGAACAGCTAGCCAAAGCCCTAAGGAGACCAAGAAGGACCATTGGTGTGTACCATGGAAAGTGGCTTTGGAGCAGGGATCAGCAAAGTACAGCCCACGGGCCAAAACAGGTTATTTCTGTAAATAAAACTGTATTGGAACACAGCCATTCTCACTGGAACACTGCCATGCTCACTGTCTACAAGTTGTCTTGTGGATGAAGTGGTAGAATTAAGCATGGGCTGCAAAGCCTAAAATATTACCTGGCCCTCTACAGAAAAAGTGTGCCGAGCCAGCTTTACAGCATAGCGTGGGGCAGGGTGACTGGTGCAAAGGAAAGAAATAATATTTAACCATCAACACTCGAGTTGGAGGAGATCCTAGGTGTCTTCTAACACCCACCCCTCAACTCTTCTATGCCTGTGTTTAGTAACAGAGTCTGGAAAAGGAAACCACAACAAAAATAAAACTCATTCTCCTGTAGCTGTGAATACAGGCTTTGGAGTCAAACCCAGGTTTGCATCTCAGCTCCTACTTCCCCTTAACTCACTGTGAGGCCTCGCGTAAATTAGTCACTCTCAGCTTCCGCCCCCTCATCCATGCAACTGCGAATACTGACCTTACAGGGTCACTGTAAGATTAGTTCCTGTACGGCACTTAACACAGTGCCCCACATACAGGATACGCATGGTAAATGGAAGCTCTGATGAGTCAACTTGTTAATATTTTGGTTATCTACCAAATGAGTACATAATATGCATGGGATGGCCACTTTTTTACATCCCCTAACCTTCAAATTAAGAAGCTTCTTAAAGGACAACAGTGTTCTTGAGAGGACGTTCTTGAGAGAACACTGAGAATCAAACTATCTGAGGGGAAGGAAGAGATCTTGGAAGTAACATCTCTAGGACTCCTACCAAGGAGCCACTCCAGATACCTGAACAGCCCCAGGCCTGATGCCCACATCCTGAGGGTCCAGCCTTAGAACACGCAGATTCCTCTCCCAGCAGCCTCCCCCTCCTGAGCCTTGTCTTTTCTTTGAAGATTTACGGGAAACCCCGAATTCCTTCTCCCCGGGGCAGTCCTCGACCTATCTCAAGATGGCTCTCTTGCCTCTGTGTATTCTCTTTTCCTGGAACCTTTCATTAATGGTCATGGTTTAAATGGCCTTCATCACTGACTATGGTCTCTAGGGTTTCAGTCTCCAGATACCAGGTTTCAATAATGGAAACCTAACCTAAGACCTCAAAATGGCACAGGCTGGGAGTCCCTTTGGAAACAGTCATCAGTATAGTCATGTTCTGTGACTACCCATCTCACAAGTCGGTCAAACAATAAAACTGGTTGCTAGCTTTAGTTCTCCTTTTCCTATTGGAAATTCAAGTTGTGCTCTTTACCAAGCTTTAAGAAAAGAGTTTTAAAGATTATCCTCGTAAACAAGATAGTCACCAGCATGGGGCTGGCAGAAGGCTCATTACTACAAGGCTATAGTGTGAAATGGAGAGTAAAGAGAACATTCCCATTTTCCCCCCATAAACTACAGTTGCTTTTACATTTATCCTAAATTCACTCTAGAATGTGTGAAAATTATATACAACACATGAAACCACAGCCTTTTCAGAGAATCTCAGAACCTTGCGAAAAGACTCATGAAGGAAACCACTTTGAAAGACCACTCGCTTTGCAAGTGCTGGCAGTCATTTCAAAACGACTCGTGCACATCTCAGATGAGTAAGGCTGGCATCAAAGTGGGTTGCTTTCCATCTAGTGCGTCTGCTGTGTAAATACCTGCCATCTAAAGATGGCTAGAGTCACAGTGTGAAGACCTGATTTGCCTCCCCTGGTTACCAGCTACGAGTCCTTGGCCTTCCCCTTCCCGACAGCAGAGATAGATGCTTGGTTAAAAACAGCTTCCCTAAAAACAAAAACAAAAACAAAAAACAGCTTCCCTCACCAGAATTTAAGGTCCAGGACAGCAGAGATTTTTTCCACTATTATTTTCTCTGCTGTACACCCAGGGCCTAGAATAGTACCTGGCAGAGGGAGAGGCTTAACAAATGTTCGTCAAATAACAAATGTTCATGGAATAAAGCCTGACCTCACTGAGTTGCAATGATTAACACATGGAGTTGAAAGAAGCCTGCAAACTAAAAGGTGTCAGAAAGTATAAAGAATTATTATTTTTATTAGTGATGTACCTCACTCAAAGAAAACTTGCTTTTTCGGGGTCAGTATTGAAGAGAATTAGAAGGGTGAAGCCTAGATGTAACTAATCCTCCAGGCCTCTGTGACCCCAGGCACTTGGCTATCTCTTCATCAGAATGTTTTCTTTCGGCTAAATACCATTTTCTGAGCGCTCTGAATTCTTATGACAATTCAATAAAGCAGGTACTACAAGTTCCCTCTGAGACACGGGATAAGTGATGCTTGAAGATGAAGACACCTCAAGGCTGCCCACCTGGAAGCAGCAGACACCAGCTCAGCTTCAGCCTGTCTCCCAACACCACGGAGAGTGACCCGACACCCCGCATTTCAGGGGGAAGCCCGACAAACACCCAGATTTAGAAAAATGTGCGTAGTAAACACGCCTTGTTTGGAAAACAATTTATATCACGTGTCAAAGAAAGAACACATAACTCTGATTCAGTATTTCCCCTTTGGAGAATTTATCCTACGGAAAGAAAAAAAGCTCAATGATGGTCACTGCATGGTTTTTCTAAGAGGAAGAACAATGAACATATGCAAAAGTTACATAATGGGGTAATTAAGTAAAACTCTGAATATACATTCAATACAATAAAAACGGTAAATATCCGGGACTGTACGAAAGTGCTTACGTTAAGAGCAGAACTGCACCTCCTCCAACCCAAACTGGGTAATAATGGTACAGACGAGGTCGGGATAGGAATACGGACAAGAAGGGTAGGACTTCGTGGGGTTCAATAATGTGGGTGTATCACTTATATTTGTGCATGGAACAGTTTTAAACATCATAAATCACATTTTCTCACACCCCAAATCCCCATACCGAATTTCCCATTCCTTGCAAAAGCTAAACACCCAAACCGCGTCAATATTAATAAAAGGTGGGAAAAGTCGGTATCATCACTGTGCAGTACTGCTGGAAACCATTTAAAAGCAGAAGAAAGCCTTAGAGCTACATCCCTGTCCTCATTCAAGCTCCGCGGGGCAACAGAAAGGCCCGCGCCGCAAGGCCAGCCCAGCACCGCCACGGTCTGCGCGTGAGGCTGGGCTTCCGCCCGCAGCCGCAGGTCCCGTACCGGCCGGATGGGCCGCGCGCCAGGCCCGCGCACCCCGACGAACCGGACCGGGCTGATGTGCCCCGCAGGGCCGGCCCGCCGGCCGCGCCACCACCGTCGCCGGCTCCCGCCCGCCTACCTGGCCCCGACCCCAGCCCCGGCCCCGCCGCAGCCTCCGCTGCCGAATGAAGAAAGCGCCGGAGCACAGGCGGCCTCTCCAAAAGCAAAATGGCGACTCAAATCCGAGAACTGCGTCCGCAGCGAATGCGAGGCCTGTGGGCGGGGCCGCTCAAGGGGGCGGGGCCGCGTGGGGCGGGGCCTCAGGAGCGACCATCCGTGTGAGGGGTGGGGCAGGGAAGGGGCCCACAGAGGGGAGGCGCGGGGCCCTCTAGTCTAGCTGGAATACACCAGGCCGGACGAGGCCACTGAGCTGAAGGCCATC